AGGAAAGGCATTCAGAGCTAAGCAGTTGCATACATCTTCTCAGGGCAGCCACAATAATTTTGTTATTGTTTTACCTTTTTAATATATATTTCATCTATGAAATTTTGAATGGATAAATATTTTTTCATGAGACGATGGGAGGGCGCTGTGTGTTAAGCTGAATTCTCTGACCCCTGCCATTTTATAAATAAAAAGTGACAAGAAACCTCTTGCCTCACTCAATAACCTGATTAATCACAACAGTGATTTACCAATTTCATATGTTTTTATCTACACAGGGTTCCCTGTAGGAACATGTGCTGTCTCAGTCAGTGAGAAATGCAGTGCAGATACTGGACAGGAATGCAGTTTCCAAACAGAATGCATTCCACCTAGAAATGGATTTTAGGGCAGTTGAGGCTATATTCCTGCACTCATCAGGAATGCATTATTATTAAATATTATAGATTTTATTCACGTATTTGTTACCATGTTGTCTGGTCATGAGCTGCATATGTAAGAGTGGTGGTGTGATTTTAAATGGAGTTCAGGAAAGGAGTCAGAATCAGTCCAGTCTCTTCCTGCAACACAGCACCTAATATCAAGTCTGTTTGTAAATTCAGTATAATGACTCACAAGGAACTAGAGTCAGATGTGGAATGGCCAGCAGGCCATAAACAAGAAGATAAAAAAGCAGGGCTCCTGGAGTGGACTGGGGAATTATTATGAAATACCATTTCTTCCCTGTTGTGATGTCTGCCTTAAGCATTACATTAATAATATCAGTAGAAGTAGTAATGTATATCTCCAGGTATGCAGAGCATCCAGAAGACAGACAACATGATGTACACAGAGTTCATTCCGCCAGAACTTAAAGCTTAAGTAGACAAGTGGTAGAGATTATGTGACTTGTGTAGATTCATATAGAGAGCTGGGAATAGAACCCATGTCACCCAAGTCCCTGTTCAGGTTGACTCTAATGTAGACTCTGTATGGGCTTCAGTCATCAGAGTTTATTTAATGGAGTTCTGCGCTTGGAATAAAATCCACCAAAATTGGTAGGTGGGGAGAATTTTGATGATTTTGCTTCATCTCCAGCATATCCTAAACCTCTAGGTGAGTGGGTTTGGATTCATCTTGCCTGACTTTAGAAGTCTACACTGCAGTGGATGCTCCTAGGACATCGTTCATCAGGTCTAGTTTAGGTGGTTGCTTGGGGATGATACAAATCATGCTACCACAGCAACTTGGTTAAAATAAGATCTAGAAAACTGCTTCAAATGTAGAAGCCTACACAGTAGGTGCGTAAAGATTGGTAGAAGGAATCTCATCCCCAGTGCTAATTGTCATCTCTAGAGTTTCCTCAGCAGCTCCCCATGGGGAGTCTTTGTATGCTTACAAACTCCATTTAAATCTCCTGAGGGCCTTCACCTGTTAATTGTTGTCTTGATTTCACATATTACAGATGGCCAACACAAGCACAACTATCATAATTTTCTTTTTTAAAAAGTGCTGTTGGGGAGCTTTGTTTAAACATTCTGGGTACTCTAGTCATGGCAAGTGAATAATTTTGGGGGTTTACAATACTTTGTTTTTTCATCTCAAATAGATACACAACATTGTACATATGGGCAGTATATCAAGAGTCAAATACACCATTGCATCTATTTGTCTGGTTCCACTTGGTAGCCTCAAGTCTTTATCTTCAGGACAGAATAACTGGAATAGTAATTCTAAAAAAAAGCTATTGTGAAAGTTACGGGGAAGGAGTGATGATGCCCAGTGTTACAAGGTTTATTAAGGTGTATCTACTATCTTAAATTTTCTCATAATAAGATCTAAGAATATCTGCTTGGTTTAAAGAGAAGGCAGAGCACTACTCTTGAGGACTAGCTCCATGTGAATCATAGTATTTTAGTATTAGTTTCTAAATAATATAATATTTGTTTGTAAGAAGCCCTTTAAAAGTTTGAGATTCCAAAAAGCTCGGTTTTAATATCCTCATGTTGCTCTTTTCCTAAATGTTTTCAGAAGTATTGATAAAAATTTTTATTTTAGTCATTATTGGCCAGACCTATGGGGTATTTTTGCTGAATACTGGATGAACTTCAGTGAATGTGTCCATATCATAGAATCATAGAATGGTTTGGGTTGGAAGGGACCCCTAGAGGTCATCTAGTCCAACCCCCCTGCAGTGAGCAGGGACACCCCTAACTAGATCAGGTTGCTCAGAGCCCCATCCAACCTGGCCTTGAATGTTTCCAGGGATGGGGCCTCCACCACCTCTC